GTATCGCATTTTCAATGACCCCTCTGGAGGATAGCTGTCTATAGCAGAGATAGAGTAATTGGGAGAGGGGGAAAGGGCTGAGGGTCAAACATAGGATAAAAAACATATTTATATGTATGAAAGTAGAAATGGAACAGTATTGGTGACGACATGCTTGATTAAGACACCATGCAGTTTATCCTAGATGGGAAACTACACTTGGTGTGTTGTGATGATACTCAGGGAATGAGTGTTAGGCAATATAATTTAATACAAAAAAAATAATAATAAGCAGGAGGAAAAAGAAAAAAAAATGCACATTTGATGACTGAAGATAGTTGTATGGACACAACTGGGGTCTACTTTATAGTATGTTCATTCTACTCCCTGGGGTTTATGCCTAGGATCAGATTTGGATACATGTGTAAGGATATGTCAGCTGTGCTAGCTAGTGGATATACTTAGACTAATTGAGTTCATTGGTAGAACAATTGAATGGGGGGGGCGGAAGGCATTGAGGGCAATCATGAATGTTAGGGACAATGGAGGAGGAAGATGGGACATGGCAGAGGATGGGGATGGGAATCTAGGATGGCAAAACAAAAGGCAAGGTATGCAGGACACGGGAATTGGGAAATCATCTGCCGAGAACATGTATGTTGATGTGCTTGATTGAGCCAATGCACAGTGTATTTTGGATGGAAAATTCATATGTGTGTTGTGATGAGAAAAAAAAATTTATAATAATAAAAAAAAAAAAAGCAGGGGGAGAAAATATTTTTTTCTATTTCCTTTTTCAATGAACACTTGCTAGGCACTGGAGACAGAGTGGTGAATATAATGTTATAGTATTTTTCTTCATTTAGTGGGGGGGAGAAAATATTTTTTTCTATTTCCTTTTTCAATGAACACTTGCTAGGCACTGGAGACAGAGTGGTGAATATAATGTTATAGTATTTTTCTTCATTTAGTTTATATTTTAGTGGGAAGGTAAGAAATTACATGAGAAATCATAATTGCAAATAGTAACAAGAACTTTAAAGGGAGGGAACAGAGCCTAGGAAAGAATAACAGGTCAGTTTACCTTGGTTAAGTCCAGGAACTCTTTGCTGAGGATGTGACATTTAAGCTGTGACACAAAGGATGACATTCGCCCTCCTAATAACACCTATCAGGGCTCAGAATATACCTACCGCAAAATATGGCACCTTGGAGGTCACTCTCTGACCTCCTACCTTTCTTCCCCAAAGCAAAGTAAAAGAATTCTCTGGCATTTCCTTCCTAAAGGTAGGTCCTGATACCTTTATTCCAAAGGTATTCTGTCACATACCCCAAGGCAAACAGACCCTGTTGAGTTCCACCCAGTTTATTACCATTGGACTGTACCCTTGTGTCCTCCAATTATATTCTGCATGTCTGTTCATAAAAATACATTGTTTCTCTGTCTTTAGGTCTGTGTTTTTGAAGGTTCCCATATCATGGAAAACTATGGCTAACTAGTTTTTTCTCTTGTTAATCTGTCTTTTCTTATAGAAACATCAAGCATATTAAACCTTGCCTCACAATGGGGAAAACAAATTACTTTTTCCCCACACTTGCACATCTCCTCATTTCACTGGCATCATCATTATCTAGTCTTCCTACGACTTACTTGGCCATTTTAACTCAGCCTTCATAGGAAACCCCCCTTCTCTGTCCAATACTTAGACTCTGAGGTTCTTCAGAGCTAAGTTCTAGGTCCCTTCCTCTCCTCTTCTCTTAGAGAACTGTACATGCCGGCACATCTCTGGTCTTCCTGGTATGTATTCCCAAAGTACTACACTCTTCTCTATACCAGGTAAGGATGCATTTGGCTGCAAGTAACAGATTATCAATACAGATGGTTTTAGTAATAAGAACCTTTCTTTTTCATTACCTCATATCACAAAAACAAAATCTAGAAGTAAGCAATTCCAGAGTTGGCACAACATTTCAAAATTATTATCCAAGACCAAGACTTTCCCCTTTCTACTCTATCTTTCTTTCACGCTCACTGTATAATTAAGTATATTTGCCTTATGCTAACAAGGTGGCTGTGAGAAAACCAGATGGAAAATTCTGATATAAGCCCATGTGGGATAAAAGAAGAGGAAGAATGCTCTCTCCTCCTGTGTGCATCACCTCTAACAGGGACTAAAGGCTTTTCTAAAGTCTTCATCACATTTTTCTATATCATATTGGCTGGTTTTGTGTCATACAGAGACAATGAGGGGGGGTTGATGAGGTGAGTATTGAGAAATGGGCAAGAAGACAAGGATACCAAAATGGCTGTCAATTTATCAACCAATAAAGTCTGACAGTCTTCAGTGCACCTACCAAATGAGTAATTAAAGAACTAAATATGTACATTTTGTTCATCGTCTTTTCTGTCAGATTAAAACTCTTTGACTATGGAGAATATGTCATGTTACTTACTGCTGATGAACAAAGAATCAGCCCAGTGCTTAGTCTTGAATAAATTAGTTAGTGTTGGCTGAAGGAGTGAATGAATTAAAATGAAAAAGAACACGGGAGACAGAAGAGGGTACAAAAGAGAAAATTGACAGCACAGCATTTCCTAAACTGATTCCTGTATCTCATATCTCAGTTAAAATTTCTATTCCATTTAAATGGAAGAAATTAATCTCATTAAAAGAAAATTAGGCAACTTGTGGAAGTGCTCAATTGTTTGCACAGTGCATGTAATGCTCCTAACGTCTTAATTCCTACCATGTGAGGAAATATGGGTATTACTGTTGTCCTTGAGATCTGGGAATAAATTCTTCTAGAAAATAAAATTTTAGCTCCTGTTAAGAAGTTATATGATCCAGAAGAATTTAAATTGCCTCAAGTACATGAATGTAAATCAATTCTTGGCTAACTTATTCAAATTTCATCCAACATGATAAAGTGTATAAAAGCCAGAGTTATTTAAAAGAGTTATCATAAAATTTTGGGGCTAAATTCTTCACTCCTGAGAGCCCTGCACCAACAGATAAGTTTGTCATTCAGGCTAGCTGTTTAGGGAAGAAGCACATGTGAAATAAATGCAGAGCATATAAAAGATGCTTGGTATATTTTTATTCTCTTATCTGGACCAAAAGAAAAGATAGGTTTACTTTTATCTTTGTGATGTACTAAATATGCAACTATGGGCAAGTTGATTTTGTTCTCTGGTTCACAAACAATAGAGTAATCTTAAATTATCTTTCAGTTATAAATGTATACATTCAAAACCTAAATTTGAAAAGTTAAGTAACACTGAACACATTAAACTACAGCCAACCTAATAAACCATCAAGGAACATATTCATATTGTTGTTTTAAAGAATTACCTATTTAATTTTATTTATCATTATTATTTTTTTTAGCATGCTACAGGGCACACATGCTCACCAGAGAGAAAGAGGGAAAGTTAGAAAATGAGCCACCAGGTTCAGGATTCAAACTGCCTTCGGCCATGTGGGAGTCCAGCGCCTTAACCACCATGCTACCTGCTGGTCCCCAGATTCAAATTCTTAAGAGTGTCTATTTCTACAGATGCAGAATTTAGTCCTTGTTTCTGATGGACATTCTGTTTGGTTATATCAAAACATATAAGACAATGCAAGTACAAATATCACGAAAAAATTGTATTTTAAAAAGTTGCAAATATCCACACATGCAAGATTAGGCTTCAAGTTTTAAATATGGTTTTCATGTAAAATAAAATTCCTTAAAAACAGAAAGTGACTTTAGTATTGGCAAAGGGACTCCCCCAAGGGAAAAAAAAAATGTAAACAGATGGCTTAGAAAGATCACCCACATGCTGAACACAGATCTTGAGGAGGCATTTCTAAGAATGAAGTAGCACTTCCCAGCCTGGGCCACTTCCCACAGGATCCTTATTTAACCCACAGAAAACACAGAGCTGATGCCTCTGGCCGAGAGAAACTCAACTCTTTTCTCACTTGCTTCACAGTAACCAATACTAGTTTCCAACTCTCCCCCGGGTTCCAAAAGAAGCTAAGCACCAACCACTTGAGACAGGCAGTCCCCTAATAAATCAGCATTCAATGATCAGTCCTGAGCTAACATCTTCCCATATAAATGGGCTGTTAAGTCCTAGCTAAGCATATTAAGCATTCAATTTAATGTATGACATGCATCTGTTCCACTTTCTCAGTGAGCAGAAGTTTCAAGATAACATGTAAAATAAAATGCCTTAAAAACAGAAAGTGACTTTAGTATTGGCAAAGGGACTCCCCCAAGGGGAAAAAAAATGTAAACAGATGGCTTAGAAAGATCACCCACATGCTGAACACAGATCTTGAGGAGGCATTTCTAAGAATGAAGTAGCACTTCCCAGCCTGGGCCACTTCCCACAGGATCCTTATTTAACCCACAGAAAACACAGAGCTGATGCCTCTGGCCGAGAGAAACTCAACTCTTTTCTCACTTGCTTCACAGTAACCAATACTAGTTTCCAACTCTCCCCCGGGTTCCAAAAGAAGCTAAGCACCAACCACTTGAGACAGGCAGTCCCCTAATAAATCAGCATTCAATGATCAGTCCTGAGCTAACATCTTCCCATATAAATGGGCTGTTAAGTCCTAGCTAAGCATATTAAGCATTCAATTTAATGTATGACATGCATCTGTTCCACTTTCTCAGTGAGCAGAAGTTTCAAGATAACTTAAATCCCAGACTTAATCAAGGAGAAAAAAAATCTTGGCAACGCTTAAACTGAGTTTTAAAATATAATCCAAATGAGGGCGAGAGAGCCTATTTTGCTGTAACTAATGAGATTATATAATACCTAAATCAAATCCACAAAATCACCTGAACAGAAACACGCCATCTTTTATCTGGGCCTATTTATCTTTCCTTTCAGGGCCTTCCACATTTCCCAAAGACCTTCATGGACACCTGGCCCCCAAGTCACTGAAGATGCGCAATAATGGAGCACTCCTCAAACATGGAGACTGAACAGCCCTGATGCCCCAAGACAAAAAACGACTCACAGACTTGTCTTTCACAAGGAGAGCACAGCACTGGATTCCAGCCATCAGCATCTTGTGTGGGTTCCAGGCCACAGAGTCTGCCCTGTTGTGTTCAAGAAAGGGACAAAGTAGGGATGGGACTCAATTAGTTTCCAGCAGAAAAAAGAAATAGCATTTGCAGCTTCCACATTCAGTACCCATACACGAGTTACTGCTCTATGGGGATTCTTTGAGTGGTTTGGGGAATTTGGAGAGTTTTGTTGTTGTTGTTTTCTAAAGAGAGAGAGATTTTTGTTATAGGGTATGGTGTATACTTGCCAGAGAAACAGAAAGCTAGAAACCACCCCCCAGAGAGGATGGCCACACCACTATCCTTTCTCCATGCTCCTCGCGGGATCTTGGGCATGTATGCACATGCTCCTGGCATGAGTTTTAAGTTGTCAGGTTTGGACCTTGAACCATGGTCCTACATGGGAGTCCACATAACCATTACTCCCTCTGCTGGTCCCAAGTTTTGTTAGTTTTTGGTAAGCAAAACAATTATTTCGCTTTTGCCTACGTTCAAAATGTCACTTGGATGATCAAAGTCCAAAGAGATCCATTTGCCTAAATAAAAGTCAACTGCGGAACAGGAAACTACATTTACCTGTGGATGCCATGCAGAAGCGTGCGGTGCTTCCTTGACATCAATGCTGAGCCACCCCAAGAAGCCTGTTGAGATATTTATATGATCAAAACAATATTATTTCAATGTTATTTGTATATTAATGTGTTACCATAGAAAACTCTCAGAGACACGCTCAATCTGTGTTATTTGATACTTTGTCCTGTGTCATGTGAGCCAATTTATACTCCAGGAAGTTTGGATCACTGGCTCTATTCAGGCAACCAGACCCCATGACAATAGGTAGGCTCACATTGACTGTAAGAATCTATTCACTAACTGAACTGCATGAGGTTGAAAAAAGGTTACAAAGATAGTCCATGGGCTCATGGAATTTTATAAGCAAAGGAGAGAAGAGCTGAGAGAAAGAAGATGAATGGAAATTCTATTGTCAATAGGTATGGAGGGAAGGGAGGAGAAATAAATGTAGGATATACAAAAGTCAGTTGGACTTTGAAGAGTTATCAGTCTCCAAATTTTCATTGGTAGTACCATGAAGGATGACTACAGGGCAAGAATTTGAGGGGACTAACTTAGGCTATGTTGAATGCTCTCCAAGTTTATTTAAACCTCACAGTATCCCATTAAGAATGGAACCTAAGGTTCAGAAATGGAAGGTAGACTGTCAAGCTCTCAGAAGAAATAAATATCAGATCTGAGAGCCAATACCCTTTCTCCATTCATGATAACATCATGACTTAGAGCGGATGACCGTTTGGCCTAATTGGAAAGTATAACATGGAGAACCGTGGGTGAGGTTTTAGTAAGGAGATGAGTTCAGGTGTTACCCAAAACATAGACAGGGTCTGTCCTATTTGAGAACAGCATTTAAAAAGACAGATAGATTCCAACATCATATGGAAAGAAGTGATGAGATTTACACACTGAATATAGAAGGAAATAAGACATCTCCACGATCCTCAGAATATTACAAAACCTGGCCCTACTGGTAGGCAATAAAGAGAAGGTACAGTACAAGTCACTTTGTGGGCTTAAATTCCATTTTAAAACAACTCAGGTCTAGTTGGGTGGAGTGAGTCACAAGGGTGCACAATTTTAGAAAGATCTCATCCTCAGAGTTGGACTCTCAGATGGTCCTAACAGTGAAGGTTTTTTTTCCAATTTGAACCCTAGAAAACTTACTTGCCTCCCCTGAGTTCCAGCCCTGATTCCATGGACTACACTCTCAAAAACTCTAGTGGCTTGTAAGCTCTGATGTGACTCATTTGGGTGTGTGCACAAATCCTAAAGATTCTAAATGAAGGACCGATGACTTAGGGTTGTAAGTCAAGTTGTTCTCTTACTGTATCCCCTCCCCCACTGGGATTCACATTAGACCACATGTGACTAAGGCTGGGTTACAAAGACTTTAGCCTCTAAAATTATGTTATCCTGGGCTACTAAGAAAATCCCCAGGTCTGAATTTTGTGATCTTGATCTGTGCAAAAATTAAAATGACTGACACGTTAGGTCCTTTTACTTCCATTACATAACCTAAACACTAATTGCCTACTTTTCTCAATTCTTTTATTCCCTAATATCATTGAGAACCTACCAGTGACAAGTATGGGAAGGATGAATCAGTAAGATTGAGTTTCGCTCATTTACTCTTTCACCCTTCCCATATGCCTCATACCCTGCATTCACTCCTCATGCGTCCTGCACTATCTCTGCCTCCTATTTCTCACCAAAAAAATAAATAATATTCCCACATCTTAGGGAGCTGGGTTTAAGTTTTAAAATCTCATAAGCTCTTCTTAGGCATTAGTTTTTTCAAAGTGGTTTGGGAGAGTTGAAACAGCTTATCCACACATGTATTCTTCAAAAAATCTGAAACAATGCAGATGGCGTAGTGGTTAAGGTGCTGACTCCCACATGGTCACTTGTGGTTCAAGTCTCAGACCCAGTGCCTTGAAATTCACACTGAGTGCATGTGGGTGCATGCCCAAAATCCTAAGAGGAGAGTGAAGGAGAAGGCTGAGAGTAACCATTTTCTCTCTCTCTCTTTCTCTCTCTCTTTTTTTTTTTTTTTTTTTTTTTGAGAGGTTTTTGCTATAGGGCTTGAGTGCTCACCAGAAAGACAGAAACAGACAGAGAGACTGAAAGCGAGAAACCACCCGACCGGGGGGATGGCCGCACCACAATCTCTTCTCCTCCATTCTCTTCTTGGGATCTTGGGCATGTATGCACATGCACCCAGCATGAGCTTCAAGACACCGGGTCCGGGACTCGAATCACGGTCAACTACATGGGAGTCCAGCGACATAGCCATTATGCTAACTGTTGGTCCCAGTCCCATGATTTTAAATACAATGTTTTCTATCTTCCCTGGAACTTGGAATGAAGAATAGATAGGTATTAGGAGGCTTTGTTTGGAATGTGAGGTTTGGAAGCAACCACATCCCTTGTTTCAAAGAGGAACCGGACTGGGACCAGCACTTAGCATAGTGGCTATGTCGCTGTACTCCCATGTAGTTGACCGCAGTTCAAGTCCCAGACTAGGTGGCTTAAACTCACGCCGGACGCGTGTGTGTGCATGCCCAAGATCCCGAGAGGAGAATGGAGGAGAAGGAATTGCGGCATGGCCATCCCCCCTCGGGGGTGATTTCTTGTCTTCTGTCTCTCTGTCCCTCTCTGTCTTTCTGGTGAGCACATGTGCCCTATAGGAAAAAAACAAAAACAAAAAAAAACACTCTCAAAAAACAACAATAACAACAACAACAAAAACCGGACCAACTCTTATATCCTGACATCTGAGGCATTAGCTGGAAGTGGAGGCCAAAGATTCTAATGAAACTAGTTTTCATGATTTGGTTGTTTAAACATGCATTATAATTGGCCAAATTTAAGACACCATGATACACGAGTCACCATTTTTATGTGTGTATACCTCCAGGAAAGAACAAAAATGACATCAAAATATCAACTGCAAGGCAGTCTCAAAACACAGCTGTTGGGGCTCACGCCCCCCCTCCCCCCCAGCGCAGCCGCGCGCCGGGAACGGCCTGGCCGGCGCCCCTCCACTGGGGGGGGGGCGCCACGCGGCCGGGGGGCATCCCTGCCCCTCCCTGCCTTTCTGGGCCGGGAT